AACGGTTGATCTGCAGTGGCGCCACCATTGATGAGCCATCCCTCGCTAATAATATTCCTTTGGCATTCCTTCGTTCATCCCCAGTCATAGCGTCCAAATAATGCGGAAGTACAACTGGGGTCGTTTGCACGGCAGCATGCAGATACTGCCTCCACAGGTCGTTTTTCAGCAATAGCGGGAAGCCCGCAATGATGAACATGCCATGTCGTGCCCGCGACAAGGCTGCTGTGATTCGTTTATCGTATTTCTTCACAAAATCTTGCTGGTCTACAGCAAAATCGCCCAGTGAAAGTCCTAGAGCTAGCAGTTTGGGTACTCTTAACACCATCCATTCATTGAATTCGACGTCTGTCTTTTGCGGGTACAATTTTTCAGCCGTCAGCGACTGAAGGAATATCAGATCAGAAATCAGATGATGAGCCGTCTTTAGCACGGCATTTGCCATGTTAATAACAGCTAAATTCGTTGAGACCGTTAAAATAACACATTCCTGTTTGTTGGCGTATTGCATTAAGTACTTGACAACTACGCCAATTACATAGGTTTTTCCTGTCCCTGCTGATGCCTGTTGAAATAGCACCTTTTTACCGGATAGCATGGCGCGAACTACAGATTCCTGTTCTTCTGTCAGATTGACTTGGAGTTCAGGAATGTGGTAGTCTGGCTGTGGTTGGCTGTCACTCTGAGTGCCAAGCAGCGCCTGCAGAATCGATTTGTTGGGGGATTGATTTCGCACAGAGGTGCTGATGGCTCTATAGCTAAGCCTTTCGATTCTGAATTTCTGACCCGTTCTGGAGGAATCAGGTTCAATCGTGCGAGTGGATTTCCCTGCAGCAACCCGCCCTCTCCATCCGCAACCATGGTGGCGGCTTCATCAGCGAACTGAATTGTTGCAGTCAGATTCCCATCTTCGTCTACTAGAATTTGTTTTAGTAGTCCTTTCACCGTGAACGGTGTTTGAGCAGAAGCGGTGGCAGTTTGGTCTTTTCACCTTGCTAGCATTTGGGCACCTGTTACCCAAAAGTGCAGACGCAGTAATGGTTTCTTGGGGTCATTACCAGCGGCTATGTGCACAGTTAGTTGATTGTCGTTCCATCTGATCCTGTCAGTGATGTAAGCTGTTGATTTCATGGCAATTTTGATTCTATTCTTGATGAAGGCTGAGGCAGCTAGGAACACATCTTCATCTTTAAGGTCTAGTATGTCGGGGTGGTCCTTGCTGCGGAAGTAAGAGGGTTCACCGGGATTGTTTACTGATCCAGGACCGGCCTGAGCTTTAGAATATACGAGTATCGCTCCTCTTCAGTAATATACTGGGTATTTTTATCTAGTTTGGGAAAGCGGCGAGGTAAAATATAATTTGTGCCCAGCTGCGCACCCGTGGGTATAATCAGTTGAATAGTGTTTGCAAATT